CGTGGACTTAGTTGACACCTCACTTAGATGATTGCTTGTTTTAAGGCCTTTAAGACCCCAGAAGCTACTCCTTCTGATAGTCAGGCACCACCTTGTTTCTTTACCACTCTTTGCTCTAGCACTCATATTTTCAATGATCTCTTCATGAGTGTGAGTATCAAGTAAAGTCATGTCATAAGAACTAACTGTCCTTAGATTGGGGTGCTAACAAAATGCGAGCCCCCAATCCATTCATGTAACTATGGGTTATATATGTCTCTGATTCACTTTAGAGATATCATTATCATTTTATGATACAGGACATTATAAATCATCCCCATGGGCATAATGTGATTCAATTGATAATGTCATTAATTGAGCCAATGGTATATAATTTAAAACACTGCTGGGAAAAGGAAATTATATACATATATGCCAGCTTTTCAGATCACAGTACATGAATTGTCGATTTACATGAACAATGGGGATTAGCGATTGGGCAAACATTTCAATAACACTCAAAAATGGAATTTTCCCCCAAAGCTATGTATTTAAATGTTTTTACAAAACAACCTTATCACCTTCAAAGTACTATCAATTACACTCAATACATTCCATTTTTCAACTCATCTGTTTGGGTGGCTGACAGTACCTCCCTCATTTTTTCTTCACCTCTTCTACATCGTCAAATCGCTGTCCTTCCATGTTCCTCTTCATTCTCAGAAACAAAAAGAAGTCACACAAAGGTGTGGGGGCAAGTCAGGTGTGTGGAGCAAGAGAGGCATGCTGTTTTTTGGCCCAAAACTGATACACTGAGATGGCTGTGTGAGCAGGTGCATTGTTGTGGTGGCAAAACCAGTCCTGCTTGCCACAAATCAGGCCTTTTTTGTGACACATTGCTACACAATCTTTTCAGAACCTCTAAATAGAAAGCTTGATTAACAGTTCTGACCTGGTGGAATGAACTCCAAATGCACTATCCCTCTCACAGCAAAAAAAGATTTCATTTGATTTGGGGGGGCAAGGTGATGATGGCATCTTCCACTGGCTTGATTGATGTTTGCTTTTGGGATCATAATAGCGCCATGTCTAATCACCAGTAATGACCTTGTTTTCCCTATCACTAACCCCATTGTTCATGTAAATAATTTCCAGTCACTTCATTGGGCACCCTCAAGGCAAGAGATCCGAATCAATTCCTTGGGACAGCAGTCTTCTGCTTTTTCTCACACTAGGCAGTTTTAACCTTAAGTCCAAGGGAATATGTCAGTTCCTTAAATCTGCTATAGGTGAGTTTGAGGTAAAACCCAGTTCTCTTAGTAGGATTTCCACATGTAATCCTGCTGGTGTGACCTCTGAAGGATGTTGTACACCTCAAAAAAAACAAACTCAGAATCTATAATCCCAGTAGTTAATAGCACAAGTCTGGGTCACCAAGGGCTAGCTAAAAACAATGTGAAAAGTGTCCAATTGGGAACATAGGACCGGCCATATTCTCCCCTTGGGTTCTATATAAATATTGTTAAGCATTATTTCCCTAAGGGAGGTTGCTTCACCCAGTTTACCCACCAACAGAAGTGTAACCACCTTCTCTAAGACATACATGCCTGCCTCACCCCCGTCTTGACTTGAGTTTCCAGTAAGGTTCAATTATCCCTCTGTGGGAGTGTCTGTTGATGTGGGGTGACTTTAGCACAATGTTGTATGGCAGCAACTGAATGGTCTTCTCCCTTTCCCTGCATCTTGAGAAACAGACCCCACCTGAGGTGAGGTCTCCTCCATCCAGGTGGTCTTTAAGATGAAGGGGGTGTAAAAAAAAAAAAAGATGTAGGGGGTGATACATGGTTGATAGGCACTCAGCCGACACTCTACCTCATTGTTGGGAGACCAGGTTAGATTATGTAACCTGAGAGGAGAAGCTTGCCTTTGTCTTGGTGTTTAACTTTATATACTGAACCCATTCAGTATTTGTCTCCATCTTGCTTCTGATGGTTAAGTGCTGGCCATTGCTATTTGAAATCCCATCATCTCCATAATGGGGAGGGCGTGTCTATAAAGCATCTCCTGCTGTCAGACCCCACCCCACAGAGGGCACCACTACAGAGCTCTTCAGTGACACAACTTGTCCCTTTCTAACAACATTTCTTATCATTTTTATAAGTAAAGAATCCTCGGTGTCTCCCAACACATACAATGAGCTGGTAGGGTTTCTGACCTTCCTGAGTGGATCAAATTTAGCCTGCTCCTTTTAGAACCTTTTAATCCTCCCACCACAATTTGCAATAAACATTCTAGTATCTCTGAAGCACCACAGACTTTTTTTTACACTGCTAAGGCTCCGTCCTCTATGACTTTCATTGGAGTGGGAGTCCCCCTGGTTTTCTTTTTAGTGACATTCCGCACAAGTTAGGTTTTAATAACTCACTTTCTTCTATATTATTACAAAGTTAGGGCAGCTGTAGTGTGACTTAGGTAGGGGTATTTCAAAAGAGACCTGAAGAGTCTATTTAAAAGATACAGGTCTTTTTCTTTTTTTTAATATTATAAACCTTCCCATTCAAAATTCTGAATTGATGAATGTATCAATTGGGTATTGGTATGTACAAAGGAGAGGATCTGGAAGGAGACAGACCTCTGGATGGAGAAAAGATATTTAACTTTTCACTTCTGTATTATGTGTGTATACGTATATGCAAATGTGTGTATATACTATCTAACTATGCACTTCAGTAATTAAAATACACATATGAAAACACACACACTGAGAGAAAGCAAGAACCAGAGAGGGAAAGAGAGGCTTCTTATCCAGTGGTGTTTAAGAAAGGATCTTTCTGGGATGATGGATGCAGCTGTGTTCCTACCGGGATGGTTGACTTAATGACCTCACTTGCCCATGGCATCTATCTCATGATAGATGGGCTACCCCTCACTCCTCAGGCTCTATATCCTTTCATGGCAGAGAACTAAAAGAAACATTCAAAAAGAATGTTTCAGCAAAGGCAAATGAATTTCACTGTTGTTTGGAGATATAATTGCAAACACCCCCCCCACCGCCATTTCTCCGTAAGTATAAAGACTGTGCTGCAGATTATTAGAAACTAGTCATGGTTTATTTCAGAGTTTTCCAGAATAGTTGCAAGCTATAAAGGGATGGCTGTTTTTGTTTTGCTTTCTTCTGAACCTATTAAAAGTATGAATGTCTTATAAACATTCAAATTATACAGCTGTGCATGAAGTAAAAAGTGAAAGCCCTCCCTTCAAATGACACTACCCATAAGTAACCACTGCATACAATCTCACATGCTTATTCCAAGATCTTTTTCTACTAGTGTTACCTTTTTTACAAAATGACAACATGCTATATATTGGAATGCATTTTCATTTTCACTTAACGTATTTTGAGTTACTTGGAATAAATATTAGAATATGTAGATTAACGTACTGCTTGTTAATGGTTGCATGATATTCCGCTGCATGTTGTTGCTGTTAGGTGCCATCAGTCCATTCCCACCCACAGCTACCCTCTGCACAACAGAAGGAAACACTGAATGGTCCTGCTCTACCCTTAAGTTCCTCTGTCTGAGCCATTGTTGTCAATCCATCTCGTTAATGGCCTTCCTCTTTTTCACTCCCTCTGTGCTTTACCAAGCATGCGGTCCTTCTCCAGGGACTGATCTCTCCTGACAAGATATTTAAAGTATATAGGAGGAAGTCTTGCCATTCTTGCTTAAGGAGCATTCTGGTCCTACTTTTTCCAACATGGAACAGGTTGTCCTTTTATCAGTCCCTGGTACTTTCATTATTCTTGAACCACAGTTCAAATGAGTGGACATTCGACAACAATTCTTCTCCTTACCGGCACAGGTTGGTCTTTTTCCGCTGCAGCACTGTGAAGACTATTCCTTCACGAATTTTTTGGTGTTCATGCAGATCGTTCTTTAGGACATAATGAAAAGGTTATGTACACTCACATTTTAATAGATATTATCAAGTTGTCCTCTATAAAGGGGCCATAACAATGTATAATCCCTCCAGCAACTTAAAATTTCTCATTGCTTCTAATTTCCCATTTTCCTAATCTCCATCAGGGCTGAGGAGCTTTTTGTTTTTTGGCCATTTGAATGGCTTCTTTTGTGAATCGTGTGCTCTTAACTTTGGCCACTTAAAAATTATGTTGTCTTTCCTCTATTGATTTGTAAGTACTTTTTAAAAGTTACAGATATGGACGTTCACACATTAAAGAAATTATCCGTCATATTTATCTTTGAGCACTTCAGGTGACTTCACCAGAGACATGTAGCTTTATCTCATTATGTACGTCAATCGTTTTCTCTATTAGAGTCCTTGGCTGACACAAGATGGGTGGTTTGAGTTCCCCCAGAGGATCCTCAGAAGAAAGGCCCGGCGATCTACTTCCAAAAGAACAACCATTGAAAACCTTCAGGTGAAACCTAGTTCTATATTGGGAAACTAGTTTAGTTTAAGCTGTGTTTTTCTTGCATGGTTGTTTTTTTTTGTTTTGTTTTTTCAGGAATTCCTATAATAAACACTTGTCCCTCACGAAGATTATAAAAAATTCTATTTTCCCCACTGGTTTTGTGATTTACCGTCATGTTTAAGTTTTTAATCCCACCATATCTTTATTTTTGTGAGAGCCAGAATCAGGGAATCTCCTGTTCATTTTTCTCGAGTCTGGCTTTCCGGAAGGAGGTTTCTAGATTGACTTTATCGAGTAGCAAAGGGAAACGGCCACCTGGGATTAGCCCCTTTTAGGGCACCCATCAAATGGTTGGCACTTTACACCTAACGTGCGACTTCATTCTCAAGCGAACCTTCAACTCCTGATCTCCTGATAAGGAAACGGGCACTACAGTACCGAAGCGACTTGCCGAGCAGACAATTGAACAGACCGAGCGAACGAACGCAGTTGAACTCGGCCGGTGGCCCCGCCCACTTCCCAACCTCTCGCGAGAGTTTACGTCATCGGAGAGCGACGTGACTCGGCGGTCGCGCGGCTCGCGTCGCTCGGAGAAGTTGTGCTCGACTGTGCTGTCTCACCGGTAGGGCCGAGAAGCCAGCGGGACTCGCGTGCGGTCGAATCTGCAGCGTCGGACCTGCCTCCGCTATGGAGTACCTCATCGGCATCCAGGGCCCGGACTACGTCCTGGTCGCCTCCGACAGGGTGGCCGCCAGCAATATTGTCCAGATGAAGGACGGTGAGAGGAGGCCGGGGCGGCCCGCACAGGCCTGGCCGGGGGCAGGGGCACGGGAGGGAGTTCGTGGCGATGTTTGAGCTAGCACCAGGGAGTTCCGGGAGCTCGAGCCCAGTCTGCTCTCCTCCGGAAGGCAAACGAAGGCCTAGCGGCCTTTCCTCCCAGGACTCCTAGGTCAGTGCTCAGTGGAGAGTTGCCTTGCGAGGCTTCAAGTGTTTAAGCCCCTGCCGGGCACCAGGCTCCTTGCCTCCGAAGTGTCCGGTACGTTTCCTGTTAGCGCTACCTATTAGCTTAGTTTGGCGGGATCTTGTGGGAAGTGTAATTATGGGACTAGAAGTTTGATCGTTTCTTTCCTTCCTCTACAACTCTTTCCGTGGGTCTGCTCCTAAACTCCTTTTTTAGTTTCCCTAGGCACTGGCTGCCACGTTCGCCAATGCGCAGGAAAACGAAAACCATTTCACGAGTTAGTAGAATTGCAAAGTTCGAGTCCAGTCCCTGTCACTTACTTGCTTTGTGACTTTGTGCAGGTCACTTTGCAGTGCTCAGATTGCCTCATCTGTAAAGTCAGATTACTACTACCCACCTCAGTGACAAATACTTTTTAGGCATGGTACTACTAAGCACTGTGCTATTTTAAGCAATTTACGAATTCATTTAACTTTTTTAAGTAGACACTGTTATATCCTCACTTTATAGATGTTATTTCTGAGGCACAGAGGATAAGCAACTTGGCCAAGGTCACAAATGGACAGAGTCGGGGTTCAGACCTAGGCAGTGTGACTTCAGACCTTTCGGCCATTATTGTACTACACTGTCGCCTTTCAGTACTTAATAAATATTGCGACGGGGAAGCTAAGCATGTGACTGCTACTGTGGAAAAAGCATTTTGCTTTGTCTCACCAATGATTGTTTGCTTTACAAATAATTTGGATACCTTGAACTACTAATCACATGTTTGGCGGTTCATTCCCACCAGCTGCATCTCTGTAGAAAAAAGAGGGGACTGTCTGTCTGCTCCTTGTAGAAATTTAGTCTCAAACCCTATATAGGCTTGTGATGAGTTGGCATCTACTTCATAGCAGTGTGTTTGATTTGGGTTTATGTACATGTTATAGTGTTTGAGGCTGCAAATAGGAATAAAGTCTGATCCCTACCCCAAGATTATTATATATAATTTTAAAATAAGTTAGTTTAATAAGGCTTAAAGTTTAATATAGCTTAGGCTATATATAGCGATAATTATATGAAAAGTACAAACTTTTCTGACAATATAGAGTAAAAATGTAGTCCAGGTGAGCAATTTAAAGCAGTTTACTAGAAAGAATTGTTTTCAAGTTTTAGAGAGTAGGAACAACTTTGAGAGCAGCTGACAGTTCTTGGGTTTGAAGCAAGAAAAAGGATTCATTCTAGGGTTTCCTGAATCGTGTGAATAAAACCCCCCAAAGTGCGCACGACTGCTGCTTTAGGAGGCATCTGGTTGTCAGGTTTTGATCACCTGGGAGGTAGAATGAGTTCTGCTGGACTTTGCTTGAGTTCTAGCCTTTTTAAAGAAAGAGGGGGGGGGGGGGGGGGGGAGGTGTCGAACACCTGTTGAATGAATTGTTCCTCAAGTGAAGTTACTTAATGAGAAAGTAAATTTGGTTTTTTTAAAGAGTAGATTTTTCCATTTTGAAGAATGAACCTTTGATAAGCATGTTGGAATGAAGGTAGAGCAGTAATCCATCAGTACTTGTACAGGTTTTCTGTTTCATCATCCAAATATGCCTTAAGCCTCTGGCATTCAGTTAGGTATAATCCATAGAAGAGGCTAAAACTTTAAGGAAATAAATGTTACAAAATGCTTTTCATGATAAAGATATCACTAGTCAATATTAGGTTAGTTTTAAATTAATGATTTCAGCAGTGAATTGGAAGGGTATTCAGAGAAAAGATGTGATTTGGAAGACAGATTAATTTGAGTTTTCGAAAAATGGATGGAAATAATTGCACTCAACACTCTGCTTTTCCTATGGTCCTTTCTGGCATACACATTTGGAATTATATGAGGACTTTTCCCTGGTGTTCATTTCACAAAGGAATAGTGTAAGGTTGGCGAGAATGGTGAAAAAGAGTCATCTTTGGGGACTAATTGTCTCCAAGTAAAAAGCGCAGCTAATAGTTGCCATTTGTTTTTCATTTTATCACACTCTACAATGTACTGAGACTCTCGGGAAGACATTTTCCAAAGATGACATGCTTATATCATAGGCTGCACTTCCTCACTCTTAACCTATATGAAAGGAGCCTTGGGGTTGTGGCGGTCTACATGTTGGGAGAAAGAGAAGAGTTTCATAAAGAGTTACAGTCTTGGAAGCCCACAGGGACAACTACTCTGTCCTGTACAGTCACCATAAGTCAAAATTGACTCAGTGAGTTTGTTTTGGGTTTGGTCTTGGCCTATATAAAATTGCTTTTAAATCATTTGGAGTAGTCTAGCCCACAAAGAACTCTCTTTTGAATTCCTATGGCATGTGTAATCTGAACTCTTATGTCCCTCACTTAAGAGTCATAATACTGTATAAGTATAGAATTCATTACTGTTGTACACCTATGGGAACTGAGGCTCAGAGAAGACAAGTGATTTCCCCAGAGTGCTGAGGCCAGATTATGAACGCGATCCAGTTGGTTTCCCATATTACACATTAATGTTCATTTTAATATCCACTTGTTTCATTGTGGATCTTGGAAGTTCCTTGCCAAGGACTGGAACTTCTCTAGAACTAAATAGGCTATTTCCTGGGCAGCTCAAGGAGTAATTAGCACCTGTCATTTTTGTTTTTATATCCCCATCTGCTACTCACTGGACATGCGGTAGATATTTTTAAAAAATACTTTGGTCTTGTATGGAGTTCGTTTCAAATTGAACAGCTTGCTACCAAGCTTTTATTTTAAATGTGGTAAATTCTTTATGAGCAAGTTTTCTTTTTCAAAATAAAAGCAGGGTATTTTTGCTGATTGCAAAAATATTGCAAATTTATTCATTAATGTTTTCTTAGAAAAGTGATATGTGTATTAAAATTTTAGGAAATACTGATAGTTGAAAAGAGGGAAATAAAAATTGCACACACTCTCACCCCTGGCAAGAACTTACAATACATGCTCTGGTCCTTTTTCTTTTTTATCTATATAATCTGTTTATAAAAGAATTTATATATATCTAGATATATAGATATAGATATATATAAATTAGATTGCAAATTACCCGTCTCAAAATCTCCTGTTGTGTATGTGTTAGGAGTTTCGAGGCAATTCGATAGTATCTACAGGCATATTTTATGTTTTGCGCTCCCCCCCACCCCCCATCTAAGTAACCATATTAGCTGGTATCTAAAACTCTCAAACACTTATAAAGTATTTAACAGTAGCATTTTGTTCTTTAAATCCTATTAAGGGATTTTGACATTTCAGAAGCTTTCAAAAAGGAAAAATGTCTCCCAGGGAAGATTATTCAGCACTATTTGAAAATGGAAAGTGAAAGTGAGAGTTAGATAGGAAGATTCCATTTTTTTCTGAAGCTATAGACAAAGTATGCCCTTTTCCTTCTTAGGCACCAGTTGTTTGCTGAATATTTATCTATCTAATCAGAATGAGTCTGGTTCTGCTAGATAAACTTAGAGAGTGTTAAGGGTTTTTGTGAGGTGTTTTTAAATAGCTTACTGTTAGAACGTTAGACTGTTTAATTTGACATTTTCATTTTCTGGTTTGCTGTGAACACAGAGTTGGTTCTTTTGAGGGTGATTGGTAGTCTCAGTTATCCTCTGACCTTTCTTGTGATGCTGCCTTAGGTTGATTGCAACCTTCCATGTATGCTTTCGTACCTTATAAATATAATGACCAACATTTCACTTACATTGTAGAGGCATTTCATGATTTTGTAATCATGAACCTATTGCCTTTGATTACTTTAGTCCCTTTAATTGTTCTGTTGTTGAATTTCAAAATATCTTCAAATGTTTCTAATTACAGTTTTTGGTTATCAACTTCCCTATATTCTCCAACTGCAATGGAAATTAATAAAATATGTTGATTGCCTAATGTGAGAGTAAAAACCAAACATAGGTGCCCATTAAAATCTTCTAACATAATTAGTAAAATGATTTAATATCATAACTAATAAGTATGCTGTTCAATATAGTACTTGATATATCGTAACCATAATTTATGAAAAGGAATTTCTAATATCATGTTGTATTTCTTTGAGCAGATCACGACAAGATGTTTAAGATGAGTGAAAAAATCTTGCTTCTATGTGTTGGAGAGGCTGGTGACACTGTGCAATTTGCAGAATATATTCAGAAAAATGTGCAGCTTTATAAGATGCGAAATGGTAGGTAATACCTAGAGTGTAGCCCTGGTTTGTTTGTCTTCAAATTTGAACTTAAAAAAAAAGATTGTATACATGGGCAGACCTATGTGGTCATATTTTCCCTCAAGGCATTTTCATTTTAAAAACTTACATAGACCAAAAAAAAACAAAAAAACTTACATAGACCTTCCTCTATCTTAAAGATTTTCTTCCAAAATCCCAGAGCGTAAGAGTCTTTATAATATTGATACTTGGGAAATAAAACTGATACCGTCTTAGAGGTGGGCCTGATAATACCATATTTCTTAAGTGTTGATTTTTCAGAGAGTGTATTTTGAGCTGAAGTATACCTGAATCTGAGAGCTAGACGACCTAAGCCGAACTTGGCTTTATTGTTTTCTGTGTGGCAAGTCACCTTTCCTCACTGGGCCTTCATTTTCTAAATTTCTCAGATGGGCTTACATCCTTATTAGCGAATTGTACATATGAAAATGCTTAGTAAGCTTAAAGCTCTGTGTAATTATAAGGGATTAACTGAAAGGATTTTGTGCGACCTCTGGCAGGATCTTGTCTAGAGAGATAATAATGTTCTCTGGGGCTGCTGTGAGTTGGTATCCACTTGACAGCAGGGAGTCTTGTTTTTTCTAGGTTTGGGCGGCTAGCTGTTCAAAACCACCAGCTGTTCAGCTGTTCAAAACCACCAGCTGCGTTTCAGAAGAAAAATGACCATTTCTATTCTCTCGTCAAGAGTTAACAGTCTCAGAAATGTACAATAGCAATCCACTCTGTTGCTATGAGCCCGAATCTATTCAGTGGAATGAGTTTGGCTAGGAATAAATCTTTATCTGGAGAACCTTCCCTATCAGCTAAGCTCTGTCAACCAGGAAAATTGGCAGTGAAGTTCTTGCAAAAAGTTTTTCCAGTTACTTCATAGTTTGACAACACTGTTAGACAACACTAGTGTAATATGGAGCTGTGAAGGAACTTCATTTGTATATAATTGCATGTGTAAACGAATTAGGTAAGATCCATTCAGATAGCTTTCATACCTTCCTGCACTCAAGTCCATGAATATTTTTGAGGACCTTGTTTATGCTAAATACACTGTTTTGTACCACTGAGAATTCAAAGATGAACAAAGCTTAGTCCCTGCTACTCCGAAACCTAAAGTAAGTGGTACTTCTGTTTAGGCAAGCTTAGACTATTTCAAGAAGTCTGTTTTTTAACTGGTTTTATTATTTGCCTGCATGGCGGGTGAAAGACACCAATAAGATTTCTGAAGTGTGGTAGATACAGTACTTACTGCCCTTGGACAGAGGAAAAAGAGTAAGCAAGACCAGAGAGAATTGTTTATTATGGGGGGGCTAGGGTCTAAATTCAGTACATCAAACAAAAATTGTATTTAGTTAAAGTTACCTTTAAACCCAAAGCCTGGTCAGGGAGTCGGTTCCAACTTGTGATGACCCTGCATAGTGTTTTCAAGGGTGTGCGTCTCCAAGGGGACAGCTAGCTTCATCTTTATCCTGAGGAGTGGCTGCTGGGTTTGAACTGCCAACTTTCAAAGTGCACTACTCAATAGTACCACCAAAGTTCCTTAAAATTACCCTTCAACACCTTTAAATTGCCTGTCAAATAGTTTTGTATATGTAGTCCTATATAGTATAGTAATTCTAATGCATGTTAAACTTAGAGCCTGAGGCAAAATACTAAAGAAAAATTATATGCAGGCATCAAACTTCTTTGCTTTAAGATAACTGGTGTTTGTGGGATGAGATATTCCCGGTTGACCGGGCCTCTCAAGGGTTGCTCCCATTATGATTTAACAGAGACGAATAAACTGTTCATACCAGCCCTGTAGGGGAGAGTAGAACTGCCCCTGTGGGTTTCCAAGGCAGTAACCCTTTATGGGAGCAGAAAACCTCGTCTCTCTCCCTTGGAGCAGCTGGGGTTCCAAATTGCTGGCCTTGTGGTTAGCGGCCCACATGTAACCCATATGCCACTAGGGCTCCTATGAGGTGGCATTGACCCCATGGGTGTGAGTTTGGTAATAAACTACTAAGGATCCCTGGTGGTGTGTGTAATAGTCTGGGTACTTTAGAGAAACAAATCCACAGCAATTCATGTATGAGAGAGAGTTTTATATAAAGGTTAAGTGCACATCAAGAAAACATCTCAACCCAGTGCTGCCCAAGCCCACAAGTCCAACATTAACCCATATGTCCAACACCAATCCACAAAGTCCTACTCCATCTCACAAAACAGAGACAATGATGCCGACTGCAGGGGAAAGTAGGATCAGTGAATGTGTAAGCATCTCAGTGCTGGCAGGGGTCTCCACATGGCTGCTCCAGCACCCAGAGCTGCCATCAGGGTAGGTCCAAGTGGCTTCTCCTTAGGGAGGTCTTGCAGAAAGTGAGCCTTGTAAGCTGAAGCAGTGAACGGGTAAGGCAGCTGCACCCTGGTCCGACCATCAGAAAGCAAGAGACCCGAGAACTAGGAAGGTGAGGCTCACTGAGCCATTTATCCCTCCGCCTTTCAATTAACCCCACGTGTTTATCGGCCAGGTTGACACAATAAACTAAGTTTGTTAAGCTGTTAGGTCTGAAAAGTTGGTGGTTAGAACTTACTAGCCACTTCTTGGGAGAAAGGTGTGGCAGCCTGCTTCCATAAAGATTTATTGCGTCAGAAACTCTGGGGATCCGTTCTGCTCTGTCCTGTGAGGTAAGTATGAGTCAGAATCAACTGGGCAGCAGTGGATTTGTGGGAGTCTTTTGTTTAATAGACTAATAGTAGCCTTGGTAGTACAAAGGCTAAAAGCTCAGCTGGTTACTGACTGGTTGGTGGTTTGAATTCACCCAGCAGTTCTGTGCGGATAAGAACAGGCAGTCTGCTTCCATATAGATCAGTGGTTTACGACCTCTTTGGGGATCGAACGACCCTTTCACAGGGGTTGCCTGATTCATAACAGTAGCAAAATGACAATTAGGAAGTAGCAGCGAAAAAAATTTTATGGTTGGGGGGAAATCACCGCAACATGAGGAACTGTATGAAAGGGTCGCAGCATGAGGGAGGTTGAGAACCACTGATAGAGATGGTCATCAAGGAACCCTGTGTGGCAGTTCATCTCTGCCCCGTAGGCTCACTCTAAATGGGAGTCAACTTGCCAACAACAACCCAACAACAGTAGACAAATTAGGAGGATGAAATTCAGTAGTACAAGTGAAGTACATACCGCACAGAACCAGAAATATAGCAGCTGCTCAGTAAATATGTGTTAGCATTTCCATCCGAATCCTGCCTTTTCTGACACTGATGTTTGAAATGTTACGGGGAGTAACTTCTGTCCCGCTCTTGAATCTGCCATTTTCTGTAAGGTCCACTGAGTCGCAGGTCATTCTCATCCCTTTGGGTGCTGATCAGATTTTTCGGGAGATTACATTCCAAAATGGGCGCACTGTTCCGTGCTCACTGACCACTTTCTGAAAGAGGTTTTATGCTTCAGAGATGCTGTCTTAAACATTCTTTTGTAGATAGTGATGAAACATTTCCCCCCCTGTGGCTTGAGGTTTTGTAAATCATATCACATTTCTTAATAAAGTTACTTTCAAAACAGCAACAACACAATCCCTTATAAAGCAACTGCGGTTGCCCTAGCATCTTGTTTATTTTCCCTGGGTCCTCATTTTAACAATTTTAAAATGACATCTCAGGACCTTCTTTACAAAAACAAAACAAAAAAACATCCAGTGTTTGTATGTCTTAAGCAAGGCGGTGCCTTTGATCCTAACACAGCACAGTCTCCTAGCTTCTGTTCTGAGTTGCTTTCACTGTTAGCCAGTCATTTCTTAAATGTTGTGTGGTGGGGAAAGGGGCTAGAAGCAGTGTCATACCCCTCAGTCTCTACTTCCTTTACTCCGAATGGACAGAGGGTAGTGGCTTTAAGAACGGGGGAGTGGAATGATTGGGGGCACTGCTCCCGTCTGCTTCCATTGACATGCTCCTCTTTATCTTTTTGTCCTAGGCTATGAGTTGTCTCCCACAGCAGCAGCTAATTTCACTCGCCGAAACCTGGCTGACTGTCTGCGGAGTCGGGTAAGTGATCCAGCAGGTTGTCTTAGATGTGAGCAGAGACCCTCCTGTGCTCTTTAGGGCTCCTGATCTACCTTTGAGGGGGCCATCCTGAGCTCTTTCCATCGCTGAACATTCATTCTCTTTGGATTTGTTTTCTCTTTCTGCCTGGTTGCTAATTAAAGCCCAGAGGGTAAACTGATCTTCCCAAAGATTTTGAATGGGCCACACCTATATGGATACTTGTGATTTAAAGGTCCCCCCCCCCTCAAAAAAACAAAATGTTTCCATAACAAATACCTAATACCTTTGGTAGAAGGTCCCTACGTAGTATCCAGTCCAACCCACTGCTGTTGAGTTGATTCTGACTCTTAGTGACTATATAGGGCAGAGTAGAGCTTACTTTCTAGGCTTTGTGAGACTAAATCTTTATGGGAACAGAAAGCCTTATCTCTCTCCTTTGGAGTGACTGGTGGTCCTACCCATTGACCTTGTAGTTAACACCCCAGCCCATAATCTCCTATGCTGCCAGGGCTCTTTCCCTGCATGGCGGTGTGGGTAAAACCTTGAAAATAATGCACAACTTTCATTTCTCCCCAAATTTGAGATTATTTATCTGTCTTTTTGAGCACACAGTTTTATTTCTCTTCACTTATTCTGGCCTTGTTGCTATCTTTCATCTGTGTCTGTTCCACGGTAGCATGTTAAAAGATGCCGCCTTGAGTTGAGGAGTGAGTGTATGAAAGATTGTGTAGGATGTGCCCAGAAAGTTCCTGTGATTGCTAAAGGTGTGTATTCTTCCCTTCCCAAGGGACTAGGTAAATGGAGCCTTGCCATGTGACCATAACCCCCTCTGCCTGTTTACTCATCTATGCAATCGAGATAACTTCCTCGCCCCACGGGAGTGCTAGGAAAATGAATGCTTGTAAATCATAATATTTAGCATTCATATGTCTTTTGCCCAAAGCAGTTTGCTTAATAATTTAATCTACTCACTATCCCACTGAGACAAATAGGAGTTAATGCTCTAGCACCAGTAACAGAGTGAAAGGCATAAAATGGCAAAGGGACTAGCTCCAAGTTACACAGCAGGTCAGATGAAGCGATAGTAATAGTGCCGTAGCCGCTTGCCTGCTCGACCTTAATTAACATCCACTCTTTTCTACAGCGTTCCTCAGTAGTGTTCTGAAGCATAAATGCTATACATTTTGATCATGGTTAGAATTTCATTCACACTTGCTAAAGTGAGTTGCAATAGAAGTCTAAACAAATACAGGTGTGTGTGTTTTTTTTTTTAAGTTACTAAACACTTTTAACATTTATAGTGCCTAGAAATACTGGACTGAGAGTTAATAACTTTAAAAAAAACAATTGCCATTGAGTTGCTGATGATTTGTGGCAACCACATAAATGTCAGAGTAGAACTGTGCTCCATAAACTGGTTTTCCAGAAGTAGATCATAGGGCTTTTCTTCCAAGATAGCTCTGGGTGGACTGAACTTCCAACCTTTGTGTGAGCAGCTGAGGACGTTAGCTGTTTGTACCACCCAGGGACTTCTATCCAGACATAGAATTTCTTTCTCTCTGCTGACATTGATGGATGGTTTCATGCAGTCTGAATGATTACAGTGTTTGAGGAAGAGCTGAATGGTTTGGGAGAAGGAAGCAGCTTTATATACAATGTTTTGGTCCAGTTTTCTTTTCTTTGGGGGGAGAAGAAAAGGTACCTAATACAAACTTTCCTGCCACTCAGAAATTCCTCTGGTTTTCAACCAAGAATCAGCTATGGCTTCACGGTGCTAAGCGTTCCTTTGAGTCCCAGGCAGAAATGGAATAAGAATTACAGCTTTGGGCACAATAAGCATTTTGTCATTAGTGCTACAGACATGAAGTGAAGTAAGCTCCTTTTAGAATTGAGATAAGAGTGGCAGTCTGCTTCATGCAAATGCAGTGAATCCACTTAATCTTCTCCTAGTTGAAATGTTTGATATTTTAAAGGACTGTCTCTTGTAGGCTGACATGGAGTTTTTAGTAAATAGTGACGGTCTCTGCCTTGTGCTTCCAATTTCAAATAGGTTGCTAGTTGTACTATATAAATATACATTTCAGTCTTTTTTCTGGTAAAAGGGGTGTTGGTTGTTTTCCTATTTTCCTAAAAAGTGCAAAATCATGAGATGTAGACTTATTTTGAGTCAGTTGTGATGCATAGCTCATATTGTTTGGTTGTGAGTGTATGTGGGGAGGAGCATTGCATGGAATGGAGAGGATTGTGTTTGTTGCAAAGCATATAATGACTCTTACAGCCCATTTAACTGCTGGCAGTTTAACATTGTAGTTTCTGGACTTAGACTGCCTGGGTTTGAATCTTGGCAAACCTGAGCTAGATTTCTCCACCTACAAAATGATAGCACCTATTTGCAGAATTACCAGTATTAAACAAGGTAACCCATCCAAGACTCTTAGCACAGTATATGGCACATATAACTACTTTAGCCTTTATGCTGTTATTGTTTGGATGAGGAAACAATTACTAAAACTTTAGAGAGAGAATACTTTAGTATGGTTATCTTAATTTTTGTTTTCTGGGTTTTGGTTTTTTCCCCCCACGATTAAAGGGTTTATTAAGGAAGTTAACAAGTTGTAATGCCAGTGAGAAATGCTCAGGGTTGAGTTGTTCATCAGAACATGTTACAAGTAGAAAGCAAATGTACAAATGTGCCTGTCACAATGGATGGATATATGGATTGTCATAAGAGTTGTATGAGCCCCCAATAAAATGATTAAAAAAAAAAAAAGAACATGTTACAAAGTTCTTTCAGGTCTGCTGATAAATTCCCAAAGGGACATACCACTGGTGTTAGCCTCAACCTGAAAGCAGTCAGCTCCAGGTTCCTGGGGTCAGCAAACCCAGCTCGGTGAATTAAATGCCTGGGATGCCACACTCCAGTAAGCCTCAGTCCAAAAGCACTTAGCTCCATTTCTGTGGGTCAGCAAGCCCAGCTTCCCCAAGTAAGTGCCGAGAGGGCTATCTTAATTTTAACTGATCTCTGCTAGTAAAGAGGGATATAAGAAACAATGTGCGCTCATTGAAAAAAATAAAAGAAGAATGGGTGGGGGGAAAAATAAATAAAAGAAAACCAACATAGCAGCTAGACTTTATTGCCAGTATGTACAGTCCAGTGAGATTGGGTTATTTAAATTAATTGATTATTTAAATTAAGTAAACTTAAAATTAAATCCAGTTCCTTACTCATACTAGCCTCCTAAAACCAAACCCACTGCCTTCGAGTCAATTCCAGCTCAGCAACCCTACATAGGGTGTCCGATACAGTAAATCTTTATAGAAGCTGACAGCTCAGCTTTCTCCCATGGATCAGTTTGTGATTTAAATCACTGACCTTGTGGTTCAAAACTCACAGTGCCACCAAATAGCCTAAAATGATGTGACGGCACACCATCTCCACTTTAAAGATGTGGAGTCAGGGTTGTATCGCCAGATCTGGTGTCTTTGTGGGGTGCTGAGTTTGTGGCAAGGTGTATGGTAGAAAGCAGGTCTCCCCGGTGTGCTGTCCTTGAGACTTTAGTACTGCTGCTCAGTAGCCACAGTCCCTGCTCCTGAAGGTTTAGTATCAGATCTGCTGTGATCAGGTTGGAAAGCGGGGTGAAAGAGGATTTGATGAAATGGGGGGTTTTTTTGGTGGTGACGAAAGAAGAGCTTTATTAGGCTGGTCTGTTTCTGGATCTGAAGGATAATATCAATACGTTTTCTCATTTTATGAAAAGCAATTAAGCTCTACATTTATGGATAATATAGCTTTCTATACATATTTTTATTTCAATTAAAAATTTTAAATGCAAGCAAATGTAGATAAGATCTCTACTAAGTTTTTTTTTTTAATTTTATTGGGGGCTCATACAACTCATCACAATCTGTACAAACATCCATGTGTCAAGCACATTTGTATGTTTATTACCATCCTCCTCCTCAAAACATTTGCTTTGTACTTGAGCCCTTAATATCAGCTCCTCATTTTCCCCCCTCCCTCCCTGCTCCCCCCTTCCTCATGAACCCTTGATAATTTACAAATTCTTATTTTGTGATGAAATGGGTTTTATAGTGTCTGGCCCACAGATAGTAAAGTGTAAAGACCTGGTGTCAAGACCATAGCCAGACTTGGATTTCTATTTCCAGTGTAAGATAAAGAATACACAGCAAGTGAGTTCAGATATAAATGAGCATGCTTTCCCCAGCACACTGGCTGAATTGGAGTGTGTTTGGTCTGGACCGTAGAAGATAGGTATGAAATCTAGGGGGATTCTAGTGCTTCGATCATTTCATGCTAGCCACCAGAGTTATTTTGCTCGTGTCTCTAGTGGCTGGTACAAAGACATCATCTGCTTATTTTATTGATGAGGTCATGTGACCTTGTGAACAGATGGCCCAGGTGAAACCTTGCCATTGCAGGTTTTGTCCCTTTAACACAGCCAGCCATTTGTTCCAAGTGATTACAGTATTACTACGGAATAATTTTTTTCCCTTAGTTTTTTGGCAAATTTGGTTAGCAGGAAGTGACATGACACAGCACTGCTTTCTTCCTCCATGTGCCATCTCCCCAGAGGCCTCTGCTCCTCTCCCCCCGCTTGCCCCCAGCTCACCCGTGCCCAGGCTTGCCTCCCAGCTCACCTGCTCCAGATGGGCGGCTCAGTGGGAGGACACTGGCAAAGGCAGATGTGTTTATTTTCCGGAGACAAAATGTTGTGATACTGCAGATGGCAGTGCCTTAGAGCAAATGGCAGCCTTTGACACTGCTGCCACACAGCCTGGGCATCTTAACAGACAGAGCTGGCTGGCTTCTGGTTGATGGGGAAATTGGTGGGGGGGGATCAAGTTGCTCCTCATGAAACTTAGAGACATTCAGCACTGGCACCTGCCTTTTTCAGATCTGGAGAGAAACGTTCTTCCCCATTAGACTTAAACTTCCCCAGTAGGCTGGTTAGCTGCTTATGCCTTTTCTTTATGGCCAA